GCTTAGTTGCCCTGCGGCATGCGGGATCTTAGTTCCCCGACCAGGGATGGAACCCGCGTCCCCTGCATTGTAAGGCAGATTCTTTACCACTGGACCACGAGGGAAGTCACTGTTTTGTTTTTCAAGTATCCTCTTCTTTTCATATGTATGCCTATATATTTACAGATGAAATTATATGATATTTGGGACGTGACTCAAAATAATCTGGAAATGGAGGGAAGTGTGTTGGAGCAGAGACAAGATTGGTAATGAGTTGATAATTGTTGAAACTGACTTAGGGGTACATGAGGCTTCATTATGTTATGTTCTCTAGTTTTGTTTATTTTTGAAATTTCCCATAACAAACACTTTTTTAAAAGTTAAAAAAAAAGAAAAGTAATTGTATTTCTGGAGAAGTGCTTGGGGGATAAACTCCCAAAGCCCCTGCATGTCGAAGAATGCGTTTATTTCGCTCTCACACTCGATCAAAAATTTGGTTGAATACAGGGCTCTACATTTAAAGAAAGTTTTCGTGAGAACGTTGAAGCGTGACTTCATTATCTCCTCGCTGGAAGACAATCCAGTGTTGCTGGTAAGAACCCTGAGCCCCATTTGAGCCTCGGCATCAGTGTTCTTCCCACGCCCGGCTACAAGGTCTCAGAATCTTCTCATTATCCGTCCTCTCCTTTTCTCTCCTGAAATTTCATGAGAATGTATCTAGAGGCAGGTCTTTTTTTATTTATTGCATTGCTTCTCGCTGGCCCCTCTCACTGTGGAGAATCATGTCAGTCTGCAGCTCTGGTAAATATTATTATCATTTCATGATTAACTCCTCCCTCTAGTTTCTCCTTTCCTCCCTGGAACGCTTTCTAAGTGGACAAGGAACTTTTCGTGTTGATGATTTATGTCGCAACTTTTCTCTCGTACTTTTCCCGTCTTGGTGGGTTTCATTTGTTTTGGCTTCCAGCCTAGGAGACACACTCGACAGACGTCTTCTTCCAGCCCTTCTATTAAATTTTATTTATTTTTCCTATTATTTTGGCAACTGTTTTTTTTTTTTTTTTCCCGGTACGTGCGCCTCTCACTGTTGTGGCCTCTCCCGTTGCGGAAGGCAGGCTCCGGACGCGCAGGCTCAGCGGCCATGGCTCACGGACCCAGCCGCTCCGCGGCACGTGGGATCCTCCCGGACCGGGGCACGAACTCGCGTCCCCCGCATCGGCAGGCGGACTCTCAACCACTGCGCCACCAGGGAAGCCCCGGCAACTGTATTTTTAATTTCCGTGAGCAGCCCATTGCATAGCAATCTGTTCCTATTTTACGGGCGTGATTTCTGCTTGCCTCTCTCCGAGGACACTCATTAGAGGGTGTTTCGGATCATTATACTCTGTTCCCTTCCCAGTGCTACCCATTTCCTCTCCACCCTTGGGAGACAGTTGTCCTATTTGTTCATCTGGATCCCTCACTTTCAAGCTGCTGGTTTCTGCCCATCTCTGCGAAGGCCCAGGGTGACTGACGTTCCCCGACCTCCTCGTAGAGAGGCTGGCTGGGCTCTCAGGGCAGGGCAGCAGGCTGCCTTCCCTCCAGGGCCGCACCACGCAAAATCTGGCCCGTGGACCCGTGTCCTCCTGCGCGCTAGTCCTCGACGAGTGCGATGAGAACAGAAATCAAGACTGAGCACCCAGAAGCCTTTACAGCGTTTTGACGTTGCCACGATAACCAAGTGCAATCAGCGGGCCTGTACCTTGAGCATCTTATTTTTAAATCGATTTTCTAAATTCATTTTTATTATATTTTACAAAAGTATCAGTCTGTAACAGATCAGAATTTTTCTTAAGGCTGGGGGATGGAGGATGTCTTTCACTACACACAGTTCAGAAAGCACTGCCCTAGGGGGCCCGGGCAGAGAGAGGTCTAGGCAGGCTGCCCTTCTGCTAAATGTCACATGGGAAGGGGTCTCCTTGGGCCGCTGCCCTCATTCCAAGAGCCCTTGACCCTCCCTCAGAGCAGGTGTCCTTAGAAATACTTCTCTGGCTTCGCCTAAGGGAGAAGCTTAAGGCGCACGGTGGAAGGTCAGAGGCGGGGAGTGCCCAGGGAACTCTACACTCAGCAATTCCATCCATCCATCATTCAGTGTCTGCCCCTCATGCCACCCTGCTCTACCCTCAAACCCAACAGATCTGTGGGGTTCCCAGTGAGAGAACCACTCCCATCTTTGCTGCCGCCTTTCCCCCTGCCCGCTCTGAGCTGGGGCCTCTGTTCACCTGCCTTCTATTCACCTGTCCACTCGCTTACTTTCCCAGCACCTGGATTAACTCATCGCCCACTGTTCTTTGCTGTCATTCCAGCAGGTTTCCAAAAGAGGAGGTGAATGTTTGCATTTAGTTTGTAGTCTCGAACTATCGTCCTTCAAAGACATTCGAATCACCTTCGCCCTGGGGTCACAGAAGAATCAGGTTTTAAAAGGGCATGCCTGGGCAGGAGGGAACTTCCTGGGTGATGGTAGTGTTCTACATTATATCCATACTGTCCCATAAAAATATAATGTAAAATTTAAAATTTTCTAGTGGCAACATTAAAAAAGAAACATGAAATTCATTTCAATATTTTATTGAATCCAACATATCCGGAATATTATTATTTCAACATGCAATCAATATCAAAACTATGAGTGGGATGTCCTGCATTCCTTTTTACGGACCATGTCTTCAAAGCCTGGTGCAGTTTTTACGCTTATAGCACCTCAATTTTCCTTGAAAATACTTCACCTGTATTTAGCTTTTATAAAATTTACAGTTGAAAAAGCAGATTAATATACTCAGGATGCTCCCAACATACTTAAAAGTTTTCCAGTAACAGAATTGAGTAGCTGTTTTTAGATTTTAATTAAAATTAAATGGAATTTAAAATACGGTTCCTTATTCACACTAGCCACATGTTCAAGTGTGGGTAGTGGCTGCCGTACTGGACCACACAGTTCTATATCTTCACAGGGATTGGGGTTACACGGTGTATACGTTTGTCAAAACTCATTTTATGATATCATTAAAATCTGTAGATAAATTTCACCTAAAAAATCTCTCTAGTTAATGATATGCATGATAAAGTATTTAAAGGTGAAGTATGTTGATGTCATCAACTTTGAAGTGCATCAAAAAAACAAAAAAGAAGGATCGACGGCTAGAGGGGACAGATGGGTCTGTATGTGGTAAAGAAAATAGAGCAAAATGTTCATTGTAGAATTAGGTGGTGGGATATACGGGTATTCACCACACAAGCCTTCTAACTCTTCCGAATGTTTAAAAAGTCCAATAAGGTGTTGGGGAGGAAAAGAGACAACATGTCTTCAAGAAACCATACCTGCATGTAATCCCATGGCTAAATCTGAAAAACATACTATTGAACGAAAGAAGCTAGACCCAGAAGGGCATCTAAGGATGTCTCCATTTATATAAACTTTCTGAACTTTAGAGACAAGACATCTGGCAAAACTGACCTATGCTGCTGGAGGTCAGAAAGTGGTTTATCCTTGGTGGGGTGAGGGGCTGACAAGTAGGGGTGCGTAAGGCGGAGCTCTGGGGCGCAAAATTCTCTGTCTTGGTAACTTGGGTGTGTTCGCTTCATGAAAACTCATCAAGCATTTTTGCAGAATTTCTATCAGTTTTTGTTGTTGACTTAAGGCCTGCCTGCCCTTCGTACCCTGCATGAGGAAAACCAGAGTTCCCCTCCAAAACTACACGGGCTGATTTAAAGGTTCACCAAGTGCAGGAGAGATTCCACCCAGGTCCCCAGCGAGTCACTGGGGATGGAGGACCTGGATGCTGTGGGCCTTGGCATTTATTTTAGGAACTTTCTCTCTGTGGTTCCTGATTAAGTTTTTGAACATGCTGTGCAGAAAGCAAACTCATGTCTCCTTTAGTTCCTGGCCCATGTGCAACCGTCAACTGCACTCCTCAAAACCGCCAAGATTTTAGCCTCCTGTGCTTGGACCACAGCACCATCATTTGTTGATCTTCGTGCTTAGCTGCTTAACTTATTGAACGCCTTTCCCTCCAGGAGCTCAAGGAACTTACAACACGAAACGGGAGGGAATGTTCTCCAGCTGTAATGGGGGGAATCAAGAGGTGAGGGAGGGACAGAAGTCAAGGGTCACTGAGGCAGAGTAGAAGGAGAGGTGCAGGGGCTGGGGAAACCGGTACATGAGCAGAACCCAAAGTTCTCTGGATGTGCCTGGTTGGCCCAGATTTTTAAGTTCATAATTCAGAAAAACCCTTGGGACCTTCCCCCCCTTACAGCCCTGAGAGAGTAACACACCCAGGGGCCTGGGCCGCAGCTTTGGGGCCAAATTATTAAACCGATGACATCCAAAAGTCTCAATTTCCCCTACAGGTGCTGAGTCTGAGAGCACTGCGCGGGGGGGGGGGGGGGGGGGGCGGAGGGCCAGAGGCAGCGGGGTGAGAGACTGTCGCCATCACGGGTCCAGGAGGGGTGTGTGCGGCCCTCGGAGGTGTGCTGACCGCCAGGCAAGCCCCAGGAAGCTTCCGGAACAGAGGCTGAGGGAGAGAAGAGCCCTGGGGGTGCCCAAGGCTGCAGGATCCCTTGCTTCCCACTTCTCTGTGGGAAAAGCCTCCCCCGCAGATGGCAGTGACGCCTCTGGGAGTTCTTCAAAACGGGGCCAATTCCTCCGAGAGGGCAGCTGCTCCAACCTCCCTCCCACGCAGAGCCTGGAGAGCCTTCGAGGGGGTGTCCCTTCCCACGGCCGCGCCGGGCTCTGAGCCGGGCTCGCCGGCCTTGGTGTCGGAGCCGGCTGGGGACTGCGGCCCAGGCAGGGGTCCAGCCGCACGCGACCCGGGGCGGGGCCTCCCCAGGCCTGCCGGGGTCTCGCGGCCCCGGGCCCAGCCCTCCCGCCCCACCTCCTCGCCGCCCTCCCCGCGGCCGGGACCCAGGCTCCGCCCCTCCCCTCCCCCTCTTCCTTATCTCTTTTTCTAACCTTTTGCATTTTTTTTTAGTCTCATTTCCTGTCGGGTTTTGCATTCCCCTCCCCCCTCCCAGCCTGTGACACACTTTCTCTCCTTTTTTCTCTTTTGCCTCCTTTGGCCTCCGGACTGCTGCCCGTGTGGCGCGCGGCCCCCTACCGGCCCTGCAGCCCCTGGGTCGGCTGCGCCCCTCGGAGGGTCCGGGCGGTGGGGAGCGAGGGCCGCGGCCCCGGGGGGAAGACGGCGGCCTGCGCGGAGCCTGAGCGGCCCAGGTAGGCGCGGCGGACGCGGGGGTGGGGACACGGGGGACGGCGGGGGCGCGCTGGGGCGACGCGGTCGTGCGGAGGGGGGGACGCGGGGGGCCCGGGGTCCTCGGCGGGCGGCGCAGAGTCGCGGCGCCGTGCGGGGGTCAGGAGGGGCTCGCTTTTCTGGTTCCGCGCTACCGGACCGCCATCCCTCTCTCACCATCTCTTTCCCGCTTTCCCCTCTGGCTCCATCTCTATCTCCCTCTCTCCGCCTGCGTTTGGAGAACTTTATCTCCACTTTCCATCTCCCTGTATCCCGCCTCCGAGTTCCTCTCGGACCGTCTGTCTCTGGGTGGCCCCGCCTGGCAAAGTCCCCAGCCCCTCAGAGAAGAAAGGGATGAAAGGGGGGCGGGCCCGGCAGGGCGCCCCTCGGTGCCCCTGCCCCAGAAGGAGGAAAAGAACATTTCTAAGACCTGAAAGGACAGGAAGTTTCCAGACCACAGCCGGGCCTGACGCGGAGGCTCCCGAGAAGGTGGAGCCCCTGGGAGGGGAGGGGAGGGGAGGGCAGGGGGAAGGACAGCCCCTCCCATGGGGAGAGTGTGGAACCAGGAGGGGCCCAGGTTCCCCGCAAAGCCAGGATGAGGTCCTAGTGGCCTCGTGCCTGAAGTCCCCACCCCCGTGACACTGACCCGCCCCCCCAGCACACTGCCCAGGCTGGAAGGGCCCCCCGTGGTCTCCTGAACTCTCGGCACGGGGAAGGGAGAGGGCTTCTCTGTCCCTTCAGAGTTCAGAGCACAGTTGGAGAGGCCCCAGGGAGACAGTTATGGTGCAGGGAGCAGGGCCTGCTTGACGGGGCGTGTGTCGGAGCTCCCAGCTTCCTGGCACCTGGTCTGGCGAGTGTCTGCAGAGGACCATCCCCACAAACCTGGTCCTGTGGACCAGACCCATCTGTGCCCAGCCTGCCCCCAAACCTTTGATTTGTGGTAGGAAAGAATTTCTCCTGACAAAGTGTAAAAGGCTACCAGCCTCCCAAGGAAGGAAAGAAACGTTGGTCCATCACTGGACGATTATTGGGTGCCTCCTCTGTGGTTATTGGGTGCCGGAAGTCCCGAGCCGTAGGTTACTGCGAGGACAGGAATTTAGCTACAGTGTTCCACTTCTGTCCTTGCCCTGAGTCTCCACTTCTCTCTAAGCGCCTGGCAGCTGTAAAGAAATGATGGTCCCCGCTGTGGGCCGGGGCTGGTCAGAGGGCAAAGGGAGCCTGGGACTGACTCAGCCTCCTCACACCCCAGCAAAATGGTTTGGATGGCTGTGCATTTTAGTAGCATCCATATCAAAAAGGAAGTCTGTCAGTCCCAGCAGCCCGTACAGTCCTGACTCTGTGTACAAATGTTCCTTTGTGTGATTTTTTTTTTAAATTGTGGTAAAATATACATGACATAAAATTTACATCTTAACCACTTTTAAGTGTACAGTTCAGGGGTATTAAGTACACTCACATTGTTGTACAACCATCTCCACCATCCATCTCCAGAACTTTCCATCCTCCCGAACTGAAACTCTGTCGTCATTAAACAACTCCCCATCCCCTTCTCCAGCCCCTAGAAACCACCCTTCTACTTTCTGTCTCTATGAATTTGACTCCTCTAGGACCCCATGTAAGTGGCATCCTGCAGTATTTGTTCTTCTGTGTCTGGCTTATGTCACTGAGCATGATCTCCTCAAGGTTCACCCATGTTGTAGCAGGCGTCAGAATTTCCTTCCTTTTTAAGGCTGAATAATATTCCATTGTGTGGACGGACCACAGTTTGTTTATCCATTAATCCTTTATGTGATCTTTTATTTTTCATTTTTTTAAGATTTAATTTTATTTATTTTTGGCTGTGTTGGGTTTTCGTTGCAGTGCGCGGGCTTCTCCTTGCGGTGGCTTCTCTTGTTGCGGAGCCTGGACTCTAAGCCTGCTGGCTTCAGTAGTTGTGGCTCACGGGCTCTAGAGCGCAGGCTCAGTAGTTGTGGCTCGCAGTTCTAGAGTGCAGGCTCAGCAGTTGTGGCGCGCGGGCTTAGTTGCTCCACGACATGTGGGATCCTCCCGGACCAGGGCTCGAACCTGTGTCCCCTGCATTGGCAGGCGGATTCTTATCCACTGCACCACCAGGGAAGTCCCTATGTGATCTTTTAAAATGACTTGTAAACCTAACTCTTCTTCTAAAGGTGGTGGCCCTTGTTTGAATCACTCAGTGGGCACTGTCTGGGTGACACTGTACCAGGTACCGTCGGGGACACACAGAAGGAACGAGAGACCCAGACATCCTCCTCTAAATAGTTCAGGCCCTACAGTCGTGTTGCCATGACCAGAGGGTGGCAGAGACTCAAACTAGAGGAAAGGATTGAGGGAAGGAAGGATGGCGGGAGGCGAGTGTGGGCGATGGTGGGACTCAGAGAGTCCAGCAGTCAGTGGAAGGTTCCAGGCTGAGACTGTGCTGGTGGGGCAACATCCCAACTAACTTCTCCACTTTCCGACATGCGTTTCTCCACCTTTCCAATGGAAACCTTGCGGTGCCTGGTTTGCTGATGATAGCACTTCATGCGTGAAGGGCCAGATCGAGTCCCAGTGCTCAGGTGATTATGGTGAAAAGGGACACCAGATGCTGATAAACAGAGCTCCTCCCAGGAGTTTAAAACTGCCTTCCGTCCTCTCCTGCTTTGTCCCCACACTTGGCCTTGGAGACAGTGAGTGCGTCCTGGTAATCGGGACGATGGTGAAGTCCCGCGAGGGCCGGAATGCCCAGATGACCACCCCGACGCAGAGTGTGACCAGATCTGTGAAACTTGGGTTAAAAGAGGTCAGATCAAGGGGGAAAGGCCTCAGGAGGTCCACGGTCCGCCTTCCGGGTCGGAGGCTGAGGCGGGGGGTGGGAAGGAGCTTCGGGCTATGGCCCAGACGCGGCTTCCCGTCGTGACTGCCCACCTGGGCCGGCCTGTCATCCCTTCAGCTCTCTGGGAGTCATCTCTCCCCAGTGAAATCAGGATATTAATACTGATTCTTTTCAGTCTTGTCAGTTACACCAAGCATGAAATGAGCAAACTCGAGATGTGCTATACTCTCCCCGTTGCTGTTACCCCTGAGATCCGGGGAGGATAAGAGGATGGACGCTCGGGTCCGGACCTGGGGCTGGAGTGCGGCTTTCCCCACCCCGCGCCGAGTGGACTTCCTTTCTTAGTGTCCTGCTCTGCAGTCCTGATCTTCCAGGGCAGCCGAGAGGATTGAAGGAAATCTACCCTGTAGACGTACTGCATTATCCAGGAGGTCTGGAGCATTTTGATTGATTTAAATACGGGAACAGAAAGAAAAGGAAAAGAGGACTATCAAGGAAGCCCCTTAAAACCGCTTTTCTGCTAAAGGAAAATGAGACTGGCAGATTCCCAGGTGCCAGCCTCGTCACCCGTGCCACGGCGCATGGGAAGAACACGGCTTGTGCGCTTCACACGCGAGGAACACGCCCCGTACACCTTCCCCCGAAGTCTCCTTGAGCAGCTCCTGCTTGTGGGTCGATGGTTTTAATGGGGTGACTGTTTCCAGGGGGGTGACCTTTTTGGTTGTGTTTTGTTCAGGGCTCTGAGAATATAACGGTCGCTGTCAGATTGGTGCAATGGGCCAGTGCCGCGGGGTAATGAAGGGTCCCCGCTCCTGCCTCTGGCAACAACGCTCTGTCTTCGCTGGTCGAGTCCCACAGTCAAGCTCCCCAGGCTCATGTCTTATGTCACAGTCCTCTGGTCCTCCCAGCTCCTCACAAGTGGGTGAGCCGGAGCAAGGGCTCCATCCTCCCCGGGTGGTTTCTGTGTCAGGGGTGTAACCTTCCTTCTCACCCCAAATCCAACTCTGGAATGTACGTCCTCATACTCGAGTGTGGCGGTGACAGAGCGGGGCCCCAGGCTCTGTCCACATACTTCACAAATCCTGCAGGTACCACAGCAACACCTGTCACACTCTGCTTTGTACAGTCAGCGCCATCCCCCGGTGCTGGACCCGTCCACTGAGAGGCAGGCTCCTCCAAGTGGAAAGATCTACGGACCTGGAGCCAGGCAGAAAGGGCGTCTGCCCCGGCTCTGCCGCGTACTAGCTGTGTGACCTCGGGAAAGTCACCGGTGGCTCTGAGCCTCAATGGCCACGTGTGTAAAATGAAAGCACCACCCCTAAATTAACATAGACCAAAGTGTTTCCAAATGAGAGTGCTCTGCTTTTAAAGGTACTTCTGACTTGGTTATTTTGGACAGAGTTGGGGGTAGGAGGTAGAGTAGAGTGACGAATTTGATGCAAAACTGAATTTATCTGAGAGAGCTATTTCCTTAGTTTACAGAGAACTCTCAGAGGAAATCAGGGAGGTGCAGGAATCGGCACACTTCTTCTGTAAAGGTCCAGATAGTAAATACCTGAGGCTCTGAGAGCCAGAAGGTCCCTGTGGAAACGGCTCTGCTCTGTTCTTGCCATGTGGCCGGATCTGGCCAGTGGGGCAGGATGGGCAGTGCAGGGGTGGGCCCTCCACTGCAGTTTGCTGACTCCAGAATTAGAGAACTCGACCCAAGAGAAAAATGCTTAAAGGATGTGAACAAGCAGAATATGAACAGACCAGTCAATTTACAATGAACGAATGCGAAGTAATACAACAGAGAGATGCCTTTTTTCCACTGTCAGACTGGCAGAGATCAAAACACTTGATAAAACGTTGTATTGGCGAGAGAAACGGGAAGCAGGTAGTCTAATACGCTGTGGATTTGACAATATGTACCAGCATAAGTGAATCAACCCAAGAATTCCACTTCTAAGAATTATCTCACAGGCAGACTTGTCCATCTTTCTGTGCACGCTGATGTTAACGGTAGCATTGTTTTTAATGGGAATAAACTTGAAACCACACAAATGCTCCTCGAAAGCAAGATCCCTCCATCGAGTGGAATTCTGTGAGGCCTTTACTGAGACAGGGGCATAGAGGGAGTTTCTGGAAGAAAGCACTAGCATGTGTAAGAAA